GAGACGTTGTCTTTGATGAGACAACAATGCCTCTGAATAAAGTCGAGAGCAGTAGGGAGAAGAAAGACGATGCTGAAATTGAAGCAACAAAGATTCCGTTAATCAGTTCAGATGAAGAAGCTCAGGTGGAGCAAATTGAGCAAGATGCTGAATCTGATGGTTTTGAGGAAGAAGAAGAGCATCAGCATCGTTCACCAGTTAGGAATCAGGTGGAGCAAGAAATAGGGCAGTTTGAAGGCACTCTAATCCGCCATACATCCCAAAGGGTTCGAACCTGCATTCCAAAGATGCATAGCACTGGACAAACCTAATCGGAACAAGAAGAAACCTGACAGGTTTGGGTTTGACCAAGATGAAGTTGATTACGCTCTCAACATTAGTCAAGGAGATCCAACTACTTATCAAGAAGCTATAGCAACTGATGAGCGAGATAGTTGGATAAGTGCTATGACAGAAGAAATGGAGTCTCTTTACAAGAACTCTGTTTGAGAGTTGGTTCCTAAGCCCAAAGACAGAAAGCTAGTTGGATGCAAGTGGGTATTTAGGAAAAAGGAAGGACTACATGAACAAGATGCTGTGAGATTCAAAGCAAGGCTCGTGGCTAAAGGGTACTCACAAAAGGAAGGGGTGGATTATGATGAGATCTTATCACTTGTAGTCAAGCATACTTCTATCAGATTGCTTTTAGCAATGGCAACTAAGCATGACATGGAGATTGAGCATATGGATGTGAAGACAACGTTTCTTCATAGGGATCTAGAGGAGACAATTTTCATGGCTCAACCAGAAAGGTTTGTTGAATATGGGAAAGAGAACCTATTATGTCAGCTAAGGAAGTCCTTGTATGGCCTGAAACAGTCTCCAAGACAGTAGTACAAGAGGTTCGATTACTTCATGCTGAAAATCAATTTTAGAAGATGTTTATATGACTGTTGCGTGTACTATCATGTGTTCCAAGATGGGATGATCATATTGCTATTGCTATATGTGGATGACATGCTAATCGCTTGTCAAGACAAGTCTAGAATTCAAGACTTGAAGAAGATGTTGAGCAAGGAGTTCGACATGAAGGATCTAGGTACAGCACAGAAGATCCTTGGCATGGAAATTCAGAGAGATAGGACCGCTGGAAGGATCTGGATATCACAAGCCAAGTATATTCAGAAGGTTCTTGAGAAGTTCAACATGTAAGAAGCAAAAGTAGTTTTGACTCCTTTGGCAGCTCACTTCAAGTTAAGTGGGCAACAGTGTCCTAAGTCCGAGGAAGAGCAGCAAGTAATGGAGAAGGTGCCTTATGCTAATGTCGTGGGCTGCCTTATGTATGCAATGGTATGCACACGTCCCGACATAGCTCAAGCAATCAGTGTTGTTTCCAGGTACATGGCAAATCCAGGAAAGCAACATTGGGATGCAGTCAAGTGGATTTTGCGTTATTTGAAGGGTTCTTGGCGACAAAGGATTATGTTTGAGAAGCAAAAAGAAAATGCAGGGGTGTGGGGATATGCAGATGCCGATTATGCAGGGGACTTGGACAAGAGGTGGTCAACTTCTGGTTATGTGTTTACATGCGCAGGAGGACCAATCAGTTGGAGGGCACTACTGCAACCAATTACAGCTTTGTCGACCACAGAGGCAGAGTATATTGCATTGGCCGAAGCTGGAAAGGAAGCAATTTGGCTTAATGGCTTGGTAAGTCAAATGGGAATCACCCAAGATTGTGTGAAGCTGAAGTGTGATAGTCAAAGTGCCATCTACTTGGCAAGGAATCAAGTATTTACTGGAAGATCAAAGCACATTGAAGCAAGATATCACAGAATCAGAAATTGGGTGGAGTCTAAGGAGATTTGGATTGAAAAGGTTCATACGGATGACAATGCCGCAGATTTCCTTACAAAGATAGTGCCGGTCAAGAAGTTCAAGCATTGCTTGAACTTGATCAATCTCGTTGATTGATTAAAGTGGAGCACCTCCTCGCTTGAGGTGCAATGAGGCAAGAAGAAGATTGCCAAGGTGAAAACTCTTGAAGATTTCCAGAGCTGCTTCAAGGAGGTTCAAAGATACTCTATTTCAGTTTTCCTTATTCAATTCAGGTTTGGATTTCTAGAAGCCTATTTGGTTTTGGATAAGTGTAATTTCCTAATCCACTTAGGAATAGGAATTCAATCAGCCTTGGGACATGTAAGCCAACTCTATATCTATAAATAGGGGGTAGCAAGGCTTATTTTGAGAGAGGGAGAAAACAGCCAGAGACAGCCAAGAGTTTTGAGATTAGTTCTAGGGTTTGCAAAAGTTTTGTAATCTCTATTATTAATCAAAGGAGCAGTGATTTCTCTACCTAGAGAAATCACAACTGGACGTAGGCAAAAGTTCTGCCGAACCAGTATAATTCTTGTGTGTCTAAGTTTTCTAAATATTTGCTAGTTTAGTCTATTGCCGTTGGTTACATTAAAGAACAAGATCCAGCAGCAAGTTATTTAACAATTGGTATATCATCTCCACTCTCACACCTATTTTCTATAAAATATAATAGTAAATGTAAAAGATAAAAATAAATAATATAATAATAATTTGTAGACTTTCATTGCCTAGTCCCTTGGAGCGACCAACTTTTTTCATGTGGATAGTCAACATGCCACCTAAGTTGTTATATAGTACAAATTTGCCTATTTCATTTGCCTTTTCCCTTGGAGATGCTCTTAACCACCTAAAGCTACAAGCCCCTCAAAGCATCTCCAAAACATCTTTGGAATACTCAAATAGGTGAGTCACATCATAAAGTCTCTCCAACAACTTTGTCAAAGTTGCAACCTCTTTCTCTCTATTCAGGACTGGTAAGTTGACCTTAGCTATTCAAAACAGTTAATTTTATTTTGAAAAAACAAAACCTACCCCGAAAATGTTAAAAACATGCTTCTATTTTTTTCTTTTCATACAATGAAAGAGATACTCATAGTACCCTTCCAAATGAGGGGTCTATGTTGAAAGATTCAATCTGCACGTCCAATAACAACTCTCTAATTCATCTGATGGCTATTAAGAACACTCATTATAAAACCTCTATGCAAACTTCATAGGGGTCAACGCTTAAAGTTCTTCCATGAGTTGAGGTATTTGGGAAGGTAAGTAGAGGGCGTGGAATGCCAGAGCACTCCCTGCCCCCATACACCCATTCTGGTTTATGTCCCAGTTTTTGTAGTGTAAATGAATGGCTGTATATTTTATTATACAATATGGGATGTGTTATTGCATTTTCAATGTCCTACATTATGATTTGTTTATTATTTTAATGACAAATCATTTAACAAAAAATGTTATTGGAGCTCCATACATCCGTCAGGGTTCCCATTTATCCGGCAACGCGGGGATAGTGATGGCAAACCAGACCCCGACCGGCCTGTTGCCATTTCCCCTATATTATCCACTACCACCAAAAAAAAAAAAAAAACCCAAAAAAAAAAAAAAAAAAAAGGGTTTTGATCCAATCCCACCCCATAAGAAACAAGACCTTTAACCAAAGACCGCGTCACATAACCACTTTGACATTTAAAGAACCTTCGAAGTAGTTATTCCATTGCTATCTAATAAACAAGTACACTTGCTCCAATGTAGGGAAGGGAAGGAAGTCATTTGCTCAACGACCCAAAAAGACATCTGATTGTTATGATGATAAAAAGACATCAGAACTGGAACTGCATCTCAGGAGCATATCCAAGTGCTTCAAGATGAGCAGCCATGGCCTTGTTCATGGGTGGTGGACCACACCTCAGAATCTGGAGATTCCAGGAGCAAAGTCAGTGCTTGCTTATCAAACAAAATGCAAGTCTACTATTCATTTCTAAGCGGCAAGATTAAGAGAAAACATGTTTGCAAGGGTTTATAGGCCATGTCGCAAAAATAAATAACTAGTCACTTACCTGAATATCATGCGTGGGGGCAGGCAACTGGGCTTGAATCATTTCCTTTGAGACAAAGCCAACACCACCATCCCATACTTCAGGAGGCTGAGGAGTAACATTTTGCAGAGGTAGTTCATTAGGAGGAAAAGAGATAATGGTCATCAGTCATGAGACATAATTCTTCAAACTTACAAAGTTAACTAAAACACCATAAGGAAGGGAAAGACAAATAATTTGGAAATATACAGCAGAGAAGTCGATTCACCTGATTCAAGACATAGTAAATTTTGAAGCGGTCAGGGTAGTTACTAGTAAGGCCATCCAATTCTTCCTGCAAATAAACAGAGGGGATTTGATCCAAATGCATCGACTGCAAATTTATAGGCTTAAATATTGCAATCTCCTACTAACCAGTACAGTGTAATCCAGTCAGAAACAAGAGGCATCTTTCTACATATGTTCTGAACACCACAAAAGCAGATCCAGAATGCTACTCCAAAAGCAGATATATACACCACACTCACCTCACCGTGCAAACAAAAAAGTTCTGAAAGTAGCTCCTCCATGAAGAAGACCATGTCCCCATGGAGGAAAAATCCTAAATACAAGGTTTTAGTAACATAGCATTGTGCAACTCAATAAAATAGAAAGGGAAAACTTTCTGAGAACATTCACAAAGTAACTTCTCCATGACAAACACAAAGTCACTGTGGAGGAAAATTCCTAATCAAAATATGGTATGAAATCTAGGATTCCTTGCTCTAAATTACTTAATCTACAATCTAGATAAAGTAAAAGAATCATAGATTCTAGATTAGTAAATATTTCCCATGACCTTTAACCACTTTCTTAAGACAGACAGCATACTCCTAATTTTGGAAATATTGTTTAGCTGAACATTCTCAAAATGACTTAATGAAAAATAAGAAGTTAACATGGAGAACTAACCAAAAGTTTTAGGTTTTGATCAAACGTAGGTTTTGTATAATCAAGATCAGTAGAAATTTCCCATGACCTTTCACTTCTCTAAATTTTGAATCTTATTTTGAATCCCTTAACCACCTACTTTAAACACTGATTCCAGTCTTGAATACATGGGCATAGAATTTCAGGCTTCTTAAGTTACTTCATGGGTCGTATACTGAATTATATAGCAGTTACTCGTTTTGGTCATCCCTGACCCATGACCTTGTTCAATATGACTCATGTCCGGTCTGGGAAAATGCATGTCAACTTGCCCCATTACTATTCTTAATTTTCCCCTCAAGCCCTATTTTGACCTTGTAAACCAATTTAACATTAAACCAAATACCCAGCATATTGTGCTTAAACTAGGAGGTTTACGTGATAGGCGATGCAATTAGGTGTGTTCTTCAAGTTTTATCTACACATGCAATATGGAAAGACCATCTTTGTAAGTGGGATTTGTATAGTCAGCTAAGAAATATCAAATTAAATTGCATTAGTAGGCCCAGCTTGCTAGTACTATATACAGAGCCAAAATGTTGTTTCCTCAATGGAATCATGGCCAAAACTAATCAACTATCAAAGGTATAAATTAACAAATAAATATGATAAGTAGACGATATAAAGATAAGTTGATAATGATACAAAGAGTAGAGCACGATACCTTTAAAAGAATGTCCTCATATGTCACATTAGCATAGATCAAGTGCACCTTTGTTTTGTCTTTTGGATTTTCTAATATTGCCCTAGCAACCTAAAGTGGATGCAGAACGGGTGTAAATATTCTACAACACTAGAGCAACTTAAAAACTTAGTGTAACTGTTCATAGTCACAAATACATACCTGGAACATTGGAGTGATTCCAGAGCCTCCAGCAAGCATCCCAAATGCTCTAACTTGGCCAGGTTGATACTTGAAACGACCCTGGTAACAGCAAAATTTCAGAGATAAACTTGGTGAAAAGAAATACTAGTATATATAGAGAATTATATGAATTATGTTTCCCAAAGGCATTTGAAAATATACAAGATCAACGCATGAGTATTGTGTAAATAGAAGTATCCATCTACTGTGCAAAGGTTACATAATATGGTCACTAACTATAATGTTTTTATTTCTTAATATAATGTAAAATAAGGAGCTGAATTTACTAACTTCCAAACTCCCAGCCATATTGCCAGATTATTGTGTTAAAAAAAAAGATAAATTAATTCTCGTATATTGTAGCAAATAGTATCACTTGGATAGGCTGCATTTTATTTCTTCAAATCTTAAATGATGTACTAAACTATATTTTGACAAAACCATATGCATATCCAATATGTGTATTAATCTAAGGCTCCATTGGGATGGAGGAATTTGAAGAAGGATTTGGATTTGACAATAAGGATAAATTTGATATAAAAACTAGAAAACATTAGATTGGATGAATTTGATATTACTAGATGTAGTACATTTGAAATGACTTCATGCAAGGAATAATTTGAAATCCATTTATTTTCTTCATTTCCTTCTTGTCCAAATAATGGCATACATGCATTATAATGTTATCTAAATCCCTAGATTTGGAAGCACTCCATCCTACAAGAGCAATGCTAACTGCCAACTTTTTCTTTCCATCCAATAACATCAGATAATATAATGTGGTAAGGAACATATCTTCTCCAATTCAAGGACAAATTTTACAGAATCAGAAGCACTTGAAACGATCAGAGTAACATATTTCAATAATGAGAGAGAGAGAGAGAGAGAGAGAGAGAGTGGGAGAGAGTCCTTTTTTTGGGGTTATAGGGAGATTCTAAATTACTGGGAAAAGAAAGTGCATACCTTTGGTCCCTTGACAGCAAGATGATCTCCAACACGCATCTCTCGGAAATGATGCGACATTCTTCCTTGAGGATACATCTAATGCAAAGTAAGATCAACCACACAATACCTTTTTAAAATAATTACATAAATATTTTTGTCTGTTTTTGTGCTGCAATAAAGTCAAGGTGCTATGTGGATTCTATAACACAATTTGTTACAGGTGGAATACCTTTATAACCAGTTCAAAATATCCAACATCAGAATCCAATGTAGTTGGGGTATATGGTTTGATAACATCTTCGCCTTGGCTATCCTTGCCCCTATGAGACAAAGAAGCGCACGTAAAAAACTACAATGTTAAAGGGAAGATAAAAATTATGCAAACTTCCCCTTATGATTCAGAATTTCTGACAGCCATTTGGTTAGTCAACCATCATTTATCAAATTATCAACAGCCAAAAGACTCAGAAAAGGATGACCATATGATAAATAGTAAATAAATAAACAAACTAAAA